TGTATGGTGATGTATACTGTTTCCAAATCTGCATATATATGTTGATTGACAGTTTCTGTGTATTTCTTTAGTGCCTTTTTTTGGAATTCTCCCTCTTTAGTTTTAAAACATATTTACATGTTATGAATCAAACTAAAATTTCATGCAATAGTTTGAAACATAAAGATGTTGTAAAAATACATGAAAGATGCTGCCAATTTGTTTAGACTCAGCAATTATATGTTTTTAAAAATGTTTTTATAAAACATAAAGTGACTAGAAATAATAATTGCCCTGTTCTGTTCATTGCCTTTGAAGCATTTCATATTGTCTGGAAGACAGACTGAGCTACATTGACCATTGGTCTGACCTAGTATGGTTGTTCTAATGGAAATGTGTATGTAAAATTAAAAGCTTTTTTTTTTAATTAAAAAACCCCTTTAAAAGTAGATTTAAAAACCATGTTGTAGGATTAGGAAGCCAAATAATGTGATTATTGTGCTAACACATGAAAAGCAGAATATGAAACTCGATAGTTTCTCTGTTCCAGTTGAGTAAAATGCAAATAGCAAATAAACAAGATATATGATGGAAATAAATTAGCTTACATTTTCCATTTCCTGTCACCGAAATATTACTAGTAACAGACTTTAAAAAATAATAAAACCAAACACACACAATTTTTATTCTGATAGTCTCCTCTTAAAAGTAAGAATTCAAAACTCTCATTGTAATGTACTGCCTGCCCTCTGTAGGATGAATATGTGACTGCTACAAAATTTATCAGTTCTAGATTAATTGTTTTTTCTCATAGCCAGTCTGAAAAGTGTACCCTTTAAAATTACATTATTTTTGTATAGCTAGTGGAAAGTATCTCTTGTATGTGGCATCTGATCATTATAGCGCCAATTTTACATTTATAAAAGTATTCTTATTTGAGAGAACCCTCTACCCTGAAGCTATTTTATTGCTTGAGCTAAATCATTTTGCAAAAGCACTTCAACTTGCATATTCTGTTCTCAAATTAATTATATAAAAATGTGTATAGTTAGCTATAAAAATGTCAGGACATTACAGATAAAATGTGAGATTGTGCAGAGATGTTCATAAACCTTCTGACATGGACATAGTTATTAAATACAAGAAACATGTTGAGGCCAATTTTCAAATTGGAATTCATTTTTTGGTCTTCGCCGTCCATCTCTGTTTGTCAGGGCTGGAAATGGGTGACAGGGGAGGAATCACTTGATGATTACCTGTTCTGTTTATTCCCTTTCGGGCACCTGGTATTGGCCGCAGTTGGAAGACCAGATGTTGGGCTAGAGTGACCTTTTTTCTGACTGAGTATGGCTTCTCTTATGTTCTATCGAAAACAGCTTAACGAGCTAAAACCAAAATTATATTGTTTTGTTGTTCTTACTTTTGATTGTCCACTGAATAATACTTCTGAGCTTTGTAGGTACAGACACTGTTTGAGCCTGGGTATTTTGGTTATATATTTGTGAGGATTTGGTAATATTTATCCTTTCCATGGATCTAGTTTGTACAAATTGATATGGCCTTGTCAGAATTTTAAGTTTGCACAGTGACCCAATGAATTTTCTTGAAGAAGTTTGAGCTATGTTGGGCATTTTTATGTACCATAAGATCTTCAGGCAGTCAACAGAATTCTTTTTGAAAGGTTTTCCTGTCTTGTGGATTGCTGAATTAGAGTGCAGGGCATGCAGACACCTAAAGTGGAGCACCCACTGGGACAACCGTCTCGAAGAACATCTGTTACTGCACAGGTGAGTAACTTTCTCTTTTGTTTAGGAAGGATTTTTCTAACGCTTCATTTTCTTTCCCAATATCACCTCCAGTGACCCCAAATTTGCACTGACTATTTATCTGAGTCAATCTAGGTGCAAAATCTCTTCGCCCATCGAGTTAAGCATGCTACCTCCATTCTATTCCCAGTATTTTTGACCTGAGGATAAAGGGACCAATCTTTGAATCCAAATTTGGTGGATTCCTCATGAGGTCTGCATTTTGCACTGTGATGTAAACAGCAGTTTAGATCAATTTTTGGTGTATTCTAATATTTTTGTTACATGGTACCAATTCCAAGCTAATATTTCACAGTATAAGAGGAAAGAGGCATTCTAGAAATATTGATTAAAACATTTTCATAATTTCTTTTAATTAAAAAAGCTTGATTTGTTTTTTAAAAGAATCTCTCTAATTTGTCAGATATTTATAATGAATATATGAGTCCCCGTTTTCATTTCAAATTGTTGCTTACACTGACACTTTTTTCGTGTGTCTTAAAGCTTTGAACATACCGGAGGAAGGTGGAAGAGAGATTTTTCACATTAATGTCAACTTAATGTATTGGACAGTTACTGGAACAAATACAAATAAATGTTGAGTAGTTAATTTACTAATCAATATTGAAATTGGCATTTTAAAGTATAATGAGGCTGCTGTAGATGCCATCAGCCAAAGAGTTTGAAAATGAATCACTTACAAGCATCATGATTCAAAAATGTGTTACTAAGGGTGCATTGGCCAATTAAAGGACACTGAAATAATTTTTTCCTCTTGATCGTAATGCTTTCTTAGAAACTTGAGTTTACTACTTTTCAAATTCACACCACCACACATTCTAAAATTGTTGAAGGATTTTTGTTAAACTGCTTCCATTTATATATTGTCTGCTGGATTTATACAGCCAGGGTATGTCTACACCAGTGTTTCTTAAGCTATGTTCTGCGGAACACTGGTGTTCCATGAACAACTCGCAGGTGTGCCGAGACCTCTTCTTAGTTTTTGTTACTACTTTGTTTTTGTCTTTTTTTTTTTGTCCAACAACAATTTTTTTTGAAGAAAATTTTAGGTGTTCTGCATAAAAAAATATTATTGTTTGGTGCATACCTCAAAATAAGCTAAGCAATTTGAAGTCTACACAGCACTTATTTCAAAATAAATCTCTATTCTGCTGACTTCCTTAATCCTTGTTCAACAAGGTTTATGGGAAGCCAGAGTAAGAAGCCCGTTATTTTGAATTATTTTGAAATAACGGATGTGCTATTAAGATGTGCAGAATGCTATTTCAGGACAACAGATTATCCCAAAATAGCGCCACTGTGTAGATGAGAACATGAAATTTAATGTTGTTTATCTTGGAATAAATGGTAAAGAGGACTCGTCACAGGGTGGCTGGTACCTTCAAGTGAAGCTGGACCACCAATCCTGATGAGTAGGCGGGGCTTAATGAAGGCTAGGCAACACCTGAGTTACAAGATAAGAGCTACAGCCAGGTACCTAAAAAAGGGAGGAAGCTACAAAACAGCCATCCCAGAATCAGGCTGGAAGAGGAGACTAGGGGAAGGCTCCTAAGAGAGCTGTGGGAGGAAAGTTGGCTCTTGTGCTGATTACAAGGTTGGAAATCAAAAAGAGACTAGTTGGGAAGCTGCTTGAAACCACTTGGAAAGAAAGTTGGCTCAGAGAGGGCAGGTTCGGAATATGAAAACATTGTAATTATCCCAGGCTGGAAAGATATTGTTTTGGTTGACTGCTTCATTTATGAAGGAATTTGCAGCTCATGCCAAGGAAAAGGAAATAGAGTACCTGAAGACTCAGGCAAAGATAAAAAGTGTTTGACCAATGACTTTGGGCCACCAAGGTTTGTTTTAAGGCTGTGGGAAGAGTTATTTGGACCATGAAAAATAAACCTGCAACAGGGGATGCTTTCCTGTTTGAAAAGGTAGTGGTGGAGTAATTACTGAGATGCTTGAAGACAGGGTGCAATCATGGGTTATACTTGTCCAGCAGAGGTAGCTTGGAAACTGTACCCCTTGTCAAAGGGCATAAGTGGGGTATTGATGTTTTGAAGGTGTGACGGGTATTAAGGGTGTGACCACCCCCTCCCACTTGGAAGGGGGGGTTCAGCGGACTACCACCTGACTTGGATCTGGTTCTTTGGTCCTCTTGCCCTCGGGGCAGGTCCTTGGGTGCGATCTCCTCCTCCCAGATCGGGAAGGGAGTTCAGTGAACCCGTGAATCCCCCTATGAAAAGGTTGAGTAGGGTCCAATGCCCTGAAGTCTAGTCCAGAAATAGTGCATAGTAGCTGGGTTGGGTTTCTGGCTTACTGGGGAAGAGGGACCCGGGCCCACCCTCTCCACCGGGTCCCAGCCTGGGGCCCTAAGTGCAGGGTGTGATGCTTCCCTTGCATGACGGACGGGGGGGTTAATCCCGAAACGCGTCTGTCCCCGGGTGCCAGAGGCGTGCCACCCCGGGCTGCTTCCTATCCCCCTCCCTGGTGATCTGGCCCGGGGAACCGACGCTAGGCCTTACCCTCCACCACCCTACTTGCTCCGCCTCCAGTCCACATCGGTGCTCCGGTGGCCCGCGGGCCCCACCTCCGTTGCTCCAGCGTGGGGGCAAACCCTCCTGCCTTCGGGCTGGCTGGAGCCGCCTCCTCCATGCATCCCCCCCTCTGCCTCTGATGGGCTGCTTTACAAACGGCCCGGGGGTGGACGTCGGGCGTCGGTGCTGTGCCACCCCTGCGCAGTCCCATTCTGGGACGTCGGGCGGGACATTGGGAGCCCCCCCCGAGCCTCCTTGCGCCAGCCGTCCGGGGTGGGCCTGCACCGTTCCTCCGCCTGGCCCCGGTCTCGCTGAATCGAAGGCCGGGACTACGTCCCCGCTGTGGGGGGGGCGGGGCCTCGCTCTTGGCAGTACGGACCCCCGGGGGGGTCCATCACAAAGGACATAGGGGAACAAGATAATTGCTTTCTTTTTTATGCTATTCTGGAATATTAAAAAAATCACACAAAATCTTAGAAGTAATGAAGGAAAATATTTCTTTACATAGCCAATCCATGGAATTCAGTGCTGCAGGGACGCATGTGTCTCCCAGCTCCCTAGTATGCAATTGCCTTATAATCTTTAATGCATTTATCCTCTCAACACCACTGCGAGATGGGGAATTTCCATTTTATAGATGGGTAACTGAGGTGCCGATCAGCTAAGTGACATGCAAGTATACACTGGAAATCTAGGGCAGTGTGATGGGGTTATGCATATCTCTCACAAGGCAAGAAAGAGTTAACACCACATTGAGTGGCGGAAGTCCTGCTCCTCACACAGTGCTGGGCATATTCCAATTTCTGCCTCAATACAAAAGGGAGCTGCCCAGATCATTCTAGGATGACCACCAAGGAGGAAGAACGTTTAGTGGAAGCTCCTCCCATAGTGGTGCTTTAGCACTTGGCTGTGGGAACCAGAGATCCAAGGACCAGACCAGAGACCTGTTGCCTATGGGTGGCCAGCTAGAATCAGAATCCCTGGGAGCTACCTGTACTGAAGAGCTTGTACACACCAATGATGTACGGACCCCAACCTCAGGAGACACGGAAGGAAGTGGTTGGGAGGGGTCTGAGCGGTGTCTCTGTAGGGTAAATTGAAGCAGTCTATGGTATCTTGCTGAGAACTGACAACTCAAATCATTAGGCCAGCCCTGGGAAGCACCCAGACAGCAGTTAACTTGTTAACTTGACCCTGGTTCCCCTGGCAACCACATTCCAAAAGGGCCTCACTTTAATAAGGCTGGTACCAAACAACCGAGCGGGATTGTTTTTACGGTTTGCTTTATTCCTAGAAAATAACCTTGGTTCCAAAGGACCCAGCTGGCTTTTAGCTCAGAGAATAGAGACTCTTATGTCCATCAGTGAAAGACCGCTCTAAAAAGACCTTTACTAAGTTTTGCTAACCACCAGCACCATTGTGATGTGCCAAGAACTGATTGTTGGCCAATGCTTCTCACTGCAAAAAGATCCCTCCATCTCGAAATAATCCTACCCCGACTGCTGATCCTGGTCCTGCTTTCCCACCTACTGGACACCAGAAGAACCAAAATATTACAGGGTGATGTGCTGGTAACCTCTCCCCTGCATGATGCTGAATCACAACTGTTTCAAGAAAAAAAATGAGGAAAAGTCCGCTGCTCTGACACCGCCAAAGCCCAAAGATTCCTGACTATAAAAGGACATTAAGAACTGACCTTGGTAAAAAAAGCGAAGTATTGTATATTGCCAAGGAGAAACTTGTGGAAGTGGTTTAGGTTTCTCTCTTTAATCGGGAGTCTGTGCTTATGGACAGGTACCATCAGCATGTACCTGCCCTCCCTAATTTGGTTACTAATTATAATATGTTGTCCAACACAAGGAAGGTCAGTGTGTTGGGGTAGAATCCCTGCTGACAAGGTGGTGACCACACAAACTGCTGACGAGGCCCCCTGGCTGGGATCCAGTGGAGCAGGGAGGTCTTGGCTCTTACCCCAGCCATCGACCCCAACAACCCCTATAAAATCATAGAAGTTTAGGGTTGGAAGAGACCTCAGGAGCTCATCGAGTCCAACCCCAACTCAGTCATCCCAGCCAGGGCCTTGTCAATCCTGGCCTTGAAAACCTCTTAGGATGGAGATTCTACCCCCTCCCTAGGCAACCAATTCCAGTGCTTCATCACCCTTCTTGTTCTGTCATCTGCCTCCAGTGAGAACAGCCTTTCTCCATCCTCTTTGGAACCTCCCTTCAGGTTGTTGAAGGCTGCTATCCAATCCCCCCTCGCTCTTCTCTTCTGAAGACTAAATAAGGCTAGTTCCCTCTTCTTTTAAGTCAAGCGTCCCAGTCCACTAATTATTTTCATTGCCCGCCACTGGACCTTCTCCAATTTGTCCACAACCTTTCTATGGTGGGGGCCCCATACTGGACACAATACTTTAGATGTGGCCTCACCAGGGCTGAATACAGAGGAATAATCACTTCCCTGGATCTGCTAGCAGTGTTCCTACTAATGCAGCACAATATGCCATTAGCCTTCTTTGTAACAAGGACATGCTATTGACTCATACCCAGCTTCTCGTCCACTGTAATCGCTGAGTCCTTTTCTGCAGAACTTCTACTTAGCCAATCGGTTCCCAGCTTGTAGCAGTGCATGGGAGTCTTCCATCCTACTCTGGCCATTTAGGCTCCACAGCCCTGAACCCTAAGAGGCTGCGCTCCTGGTCCCCGGCCACCTCAGCCACCCTGCATCTTCAGCCACACTGCCTCTTCCCCTGAGCACCCACATCCTCCCTCCCAGTCCTTGCTCGGGCCATACCAGCCCCTCTGCTGCTGCCAGGATTGACCTCCCTTGGTCTGGCAAATTCCCTGATTTGGGACCAGATAGGTCCTAAGGGTGCCAGACAGGGGAAGTACAGCATGTAATTATTTTATGTACAGTCCATGGGCTCATTTGATCAGAATGACGCATTTATCTGACTCTACAACAGAATCAGATTTTGCAGATCAACTTTCATTTTCTTTAAATAAAAAAGCACATTCTTAACACTTATAAGGTTAAAGGAAATGTTTGAAAGATGGACCCAACATAGTGCTTGGACAATCTAAAACAACAGCTCTGAACAGCATTCATTTCAGTGGGTTATTGTCATTTATGACTAACAATAACCGAAAGACAGGAATTTCAAATAATTTAGGTGTGCAATTATGCAACTTGTTTACAGTTACATTTACCATTAATGTGTAC